ATGTTGAATGATCTTGAAATATTCTACAACTTCTTAGATAACAAATACATTATGCATCACTCAGCAGATTACTACCGCGGACAAACACTGGTTATTAGGCAAAAACCCACAGCTTACGTTCATGCCGACTTAATACCTACCCGTCTGTGAGCATGACACAAGGTTTGCATACAGCTATATGTGAATGTCATGAAACGTGTGTTTGTTTGAAAAATCTGGTGTAATAGTCACGCATGACATGAGAGAGAAGTCATCACATTTGGGACGGGGAAATCAATCACGTTTGGCCTTTGAGCTGCAAGCGTAGAAACGTGGGATCTCTACGTTTCATGGCACCCCGCTTCCCCTCCCCCCCCCCCCCCCCGCTTCCAAGATTGTTGAGATTTACCCTATGGCAACCAAAGAAGAAATTAAATGCAAAATGAGTATGGGCGACAACTCTTTCTGAGCCATTCCTCTGCCTAGGTCTCGGCAGGCAGCGCCAGTCCACATATTATCTTCCCAGCTAAGCACTTCCATTTACCTTCTTTCTTTCTGTGCCGTTACCCAAGAACAGGTAACTAGGAGTGCCCCTCTCATAACCGATATCCGATATCATATATCCGATAGTTTCAAAATTTTGTATCGTTTAAAGATTGGCTGTGATTTTTGTGGAGGATGCACCTTTTCTATAAGACGCACGCCTTTTTGCAAAATTACTAGCCGACCTAGTAGAAAAGCATAATTTATGCTCCAAATCAAGCAGCATTAATTTAAATAAGGAAGAATCAAAATGTTATAGAGTAGATGTGACATTGTTTTATTAATAAAGTACCTAACCATACTTATTATTCCAATATTTCTACTTACTATGCTTGCAACAAAATTAGTGTTTCGTAATTTGTAAATTGAGCCTTTCGGCCATCTCCTGTAAGATCTCGAATTGCACTTCATGACATAGCTTTTCTGCATTTATAAACTGCTGCAAAGTGCTCCAAATGGTTCCCGGACACAACGTCATTCAGCTTAGTCCACACCGAGTTACCAATAGGGCCGGCGATAGCCATGAGCGGACTCATTACGCTTCGGCCGCCAGCATTATCTACCCATTTCAAACGGGTCAGTATAGTTTGCATCTGTGCAACGACTAGTGAACATCATTCCAAAGCTGTTTAAATGACATCTGAAATGCTCTAGCCCCGGTTGGCTTTTCACGGGCAGTACCACGGCCTATTGGGCACATAACCAGAGCGTGCGTTAAGGCCTACGCAATGCCCACACAAGCCTTCGAGCGTGAAACATGGTGTGTACGCGGCTAAATCAGTTTACCATGCAAGGTATGTTTACCTGAAAAATAAAGTCCAACGGTCACATATGACAAGTTGAAAAGAACCACATGTCCCAACGAGCACACAAGAGAAGCAGAGTTAACAATAGGGCCGGTGATAGGTATCAGTGGACTCTACGATTCGGCCGTCAGCATTATCTGCCGATTTTAATCGTGTCAGCTTAGTTTACATCAGTGAAATCCCTAGCCGACACTATCCCCAAACTGTCTAAATGGCAATTCATGTATTCTTGTTGGCGGATTATTCCCGGGGACCAGCACTGCTAACTGGGCAAATAAGAGCAGCGTGCCACGTGCCCAGTTGTCCGACGTCAGACCAAACAGCCTGCCAGCCGAAACTCGTTTGTTTTCGCTATACAATGTACCATAGAACGTGTGCTCATCTAAACGTCCCTGTATCACGGTCAGGACCCTGAAAGTATTGTAGCCTCGAGAGATTGTTCCTCGGGGCCCACCATGCCCTAGAGAGATTTTATCCCTCGGGGCACAAAGCCACAGCGTACGTTAAGGCCAACGCAATACCTAACCGCCTGCGAGCCTGATACAAGGCTTGTATGCGGTTATGTGTATATACCATAAAACGCGTTGGTCACACATTACAAAACAGGGAAAACGCTACGTCAGTGCAGAAAAATGAATAAGGAAGTCCACTTCCGGCTGGTAGCGCCGGTCACCAACCAAATCTCATTTCCATTACGGCCGCCTGCCATGAGACGTCCATTTTGATTCCACGACCTAACTTTGCTACATTTAGAAAGTACTGGAGGTCCAAATGATTTCTGAATGAACTTGCATTAAAATAAATTCAATCGATGTTACCGACAGTGGCCGTTGATAGACTAAGCAGACTCTTCAAGTTTCGGCCGCTACCATTGTCTGTCCACTTCAAACGTGCCAGTATAGTTTACATCGATGATATCATTATCAGCAACACCATTTTAAAACCATGCATGCAATTTTGCTAGCAGCATGGAGACAGTGGACCCATCCTTCCTGAATAAAATGTCATTCGGGTATGCCCACTCCGAGTGGCCAATAAGAAGATGATAGGCGGAAAGCAAACTCTTTACGTTTTGGCCGCCAGTATCATTTGTCCAATTCAAACGTGTCAATATAATTTCCATTGGTGCAACGACTAGTGGACATCATTCTAAAGCTGTTTAAACGGCATATGAAATATTCTAGCCCCGGTTAGCCTCTCACGGGCAGCACCACGGACTATAGGGCGCATAGCCAGAGCGTGTGTCAAGGCCCACGCAATACCCACACGCCTTCGAGTGTGAAACATGGTGTGCATGCGGCTAAATGTATATACCATGAAAGGTGTGTTTACCTGAAAAGTCAAGTCCAGCGGTCATATATGACACGCGGAAAAGCGGCACACATGCCAACGAGCGCACAATAGAACGAGAGTTACCAATAGCGCCGGTGATAGACTTGAAACACAGCTCTTTACGTCCCGGCCGCCAGCGTGGTCTGTCCATATCAAACGCTGCAGTTTAGTTTTATCGGTGCGATCATAACCGGAAACCATTGTCGTTTAATAGAGCAATTGAAATATTCCACCATTAGCAGGTCGTGCCTGAAGAGCACCACGACCTACTGGGCACATCGCAACAGCGTGCGTTAAAGCCGACGCAATATGTAACCGTATGCGAAACTCAAACAAGCTGTGTATGCGGCCTTACGCATATACCATGAAGCAGTGCTTCACTGTACGTCACGGTGATTCCCTGGCCGACACAGTAGGCCGCTAGTTGACTTAAGGGGCCCCAGTCAATGTAAATCACAGGCCCGAGCCATGTAGCTTTTTTAAAATGGATCCCAGAGGCCAGGCCACGTTAGTGGCATTATGCTCAGGAATCATTTGGAGCACCTTGCAGTAGTTTCCAAATGCAGCAGAGCCATTTCATGCAGTTCAGTTGGAGATTTCAAAGCAGGCAGCCGTAGGGTAAGTTGAAGAGTTTGGCTGTAAAAGTGATAAAAGGTCTGCCGCTGGCACCTGTAACATAAACGGAGGAACGTTTCAGAAAGGGAGGAGGGCGCCCCTAGTCGCACTGTTGGCGATTCTTCCCAACAAATTCCATAAGTTTAATGTTCTACAGTCTCAGAGTGGGGATGCCGTTGCACTTGAGCCTTCCTTGGCATAGGAGCCACAGGCACATTTCCATAGGATATTTTGATTCATCTGCTTCGCCATGTGCAACCATTGTCCTTTATTTGTCAGATAAACACGCTTTGTGGGAGGTATATGCCTATAGCTGCAACCTAACAATTGTTCATGTTCGCAGGCGATTAGGTTACTGTGTCGGCCTTGCTGTACCCTGTGTGTGTGTGCCACTGTCCGTGGTGGTGTGCAGTAGTAACCTGCCGAGGATTGCCATATAGTCCGTGGTCGTGTGCATTAGTAATCTGGCGAGGATTGCACATTTTGATTGCTTATAAACACTAATAAAAAGGTATGCGCTGATGATAGCACCGATGGAAAATGTACTGACATCTGAAATGATCAGATGATGCTGGCGGCCGAAATGTAGAGTCCGCTTACGCCTATGAACGACTCTATCGGTAATACGGGATTGGCTTACTCAAATGACATCTTGTTCAGGAATGGCAGGGTCATTTTTTTCACGATATGAGGGAAAATATCTGCATGTTCTTAAAATGGTGCTGCTAGTGGTAGCATCGATTGAAACTATTTTGGCACGTTGGAAACGGGTGGATAAGGCTGGCGGTCGAAAGGTAAAAAGTACGATTATGCCCATCAACGGCCATATTATTGACTTGCATTGGGCTCACCTAAAAGTCATTTTGTTCAGGAATTATTTTAAACACCCTGCAGCCGTTTACAAGAGCAGTAAAGTAATATAACGCATTGAAATTGGAGAGTTCATTGTAGACGGCCGGAATGTAAATTGAAGAGTTGGGCTGCAAATGTCATACAAGATCTGGCGTTGGCATCCGAATGATAGACGGAGGAACGTCTCAGGAAGTGATGGTGCTCAGTTTGATTGTAGTCGATTCTTCCCATCCATTGCCATAACGCTAATACTCCACATACATTATCAGAAACTGGCTAATGGTGAGGGTGCCATGACAGTCACGGAACTTGCGTTTCAAGACTAGGATAAACCATTGCCATCTAAATCGTGTTAAAATGGTGTCCGCCAGTGGTTGCACCGATGGACACTATTTTGGAACGGTTGTTAGACAGATAATGCCGGTAGCCGAAAACGTGAGTCAGTTTATGCCTTTCTCCGGCCCCTTTCGCAATTCAGCGTGGACATGTCTGAATGCGGTTTGTTCATGGATCACTTGGACCTTCTCCCAGTAGTTTCTTGAGGAAGCCTGCTGTGAATGGTGGTTTCCGCTATTATTAGGTTCCCTAGTGAGACGAAACGCAGGCCATAACTCGTGTCACGTGACGTCACGAGCAGCAGGTAAAACGCGGCTCATTTTTTTACTTCATTTTTTTTTCAAACGGTACCACCATAGTAATGTAAACCACAAGTACATAGTAAACCACGAGTACCACGAGTAAACCACGAGTACGTACACCATATCAGTCTCCCCGACCGTCGCGAGCAGCCCGAAAACACAGCCGAAAAACGTGTCCCACTGAAAGTTTTCGACTGTTGACTGATTCATTAGTCCCAGCCACGTCATCAGTAGGATGCAGAACCTGTGTTATTACGAATATCTGCTTAGTTTTCAATGTTGTCATAATAAGAAGCTTGTGAATCCTTGTGATGTCGTAACAAGTAACAGAAGTCCGACCTTTACATGTCTACCAGTGACGGCATGAGGAACACAAAACTTGTCATTGGGTTCATTTACCCAGCCCGGCAGCGGCGTTTCGTCAGCTGATTAGCCGGTCCTCATCACAGACGTGAGCCGACGCGCTTACATCCGCAAGTATTGCCGGCCGGAGGGTAAAGAGCGCTCATTGATTTGTGTTGCGTGATTGTTGCATGATTTTAGAATTTTTAGGCTCTCCCTTAAGAGCCAAGACCAAATCTCAGATGCTGCCTGCAATGAGCTTAAAATATGTGTCCAAATGCATTTTCAAAACTGGTCAGCTTTCAACACCTTACATATTACCCGTGTGGGATTTGCACTTTTTATTAATTAAGATTGTACTTTTTAATTACATGGACTTGACTTCATTATATAACTGTCATGTCGGCTTTTTTTTACTTGGGTACCTGTATTGCCGACGGTGGGGAGAGAGCTACGCTGGCTGCAGGGTTCCTGTACTGCCATGATGGAGAAATGCTGTTAGGTATCAGACGACGTAGTGACGTCACTGAAAATGGGTTTGCATCGATCTGGGTTCTTTTGGGCCGACTGAAGGCTACAAGGCATTTGCTAGCGATATGATGTCACTGGTATTCGACTGGATATGTGACGTCACTGGTTGTGAGGCTTTAGGGCTCTTTTGGGTGCAATGAATGCCGTAAAGCATCACCTGACGATATGTCGTCGCTGGTATTCAATGAAACATCAGGCGCGACGGGCCTTATTCCATCTTTACCTTTCGTACCTGTCTGCTGCAAGCATTTGCGTGCCGAATAAAAGCTTGACCGAATCACCTGAATGTGTGACGTCACCAATCACCACTTGATACGAGTGCACTTAGGCCCCACGGCCGCGGTGTATCATGTTCCTTGAAATATCACTGGGTATCGTGACGTCAGTGATATTCGACTAAATATTGGTCACAACAGGTCAAGGTTCATTTTTAGCTTCGTACCTGTCTACTGCAAGCACTGGCGTGATGAATTAAAGCTACCAAATCACGTGAGTGTGTGACGTCACTGGTCATGCATTTTTATGGATCTTTGGGGGCCAACTGAGGGCCGTAAAGCATAGCCTAATGATGTGACGTCACTGGCATTCGACTGTGTGTGATGTCACTTGTGATCAGATTTTACGGCCTCTTTTGGGCCGACGAAAGGTCATACTACATTAACTGAAGATGTGCCGTCACTGGTATCCGAATACAATTCAGGCGGCCATGGCCATGCTCCATCTTTACCTTTGGTACCTGTCCATTGCAAGTATTTGAATGCTGAAGGAAGGGTCTGCCGAATTACCTGAGTGTGTAACGTCACTAACCATTAATTTGTATAGACTGTTTTGAACCCACTGCAAGCCATACCACATCAGCTGACCATATGACGTCACCGGTTTTCGTCTAGGTGTCATGCGCAACAGGCCATGCTCTATCTTTGCCTTTCGTACCTGTTTACTGCAAGCATTCGCGTGCTATATCAAGGTGATGCTGAACCATCTGAGTGCGTGACGTCACTGGTCATGAGTTTATACAGGTTCACTTGGGCAGCCCAATGCAACAAAGCATCATATCCTGTAAAGCATCGCGGGATGATATGACGTCACTGGTATTCGACCCAACATCAGGCGCAACAGGCCATGTTCCATCTTTACCTTTCGTACCTGTCTACTGCAAGCATTCGCGTGTTATATCACGTCATTGGTTAAGAGTTCTTACGGGCTCTTTTCGACCCCCTATATGGTATAATGCTTCAGTTGACGATATGATGTCACTGGTGTTCGACTTAGCATCAGACACAACATGTCATGTTCCATCTTTGCCTTTCGCACCTGTTAAAGTATTGGCGAGCCTAATGATGGCTCTGCCGAATCACCTGAGTGCGTCATCATGAGTTTTTACAGGCTATTGTTGGCCGGGAAAGCCATTAGGCATCATCTAACGATATGTCGTCACTGGTAATCCACTAAGTGTGTGACGCCATTGGTCATGAGTTTTCCCGCGCCTTTTTGGGCCGACTTAAGGCCATTAGGCATCAGGTAACGATATGACGTCACTGGTATTCAATTAAGCATCAGGTACAATATGTCATGTTTCATCTTTACCTTCCGCACCTATCTACTGCAAGTATTCGCGCGCCACATAAAAGCTCTGCCCAATCACCTGAGCGTGTGGTGTGACTGGTTATGAGTTTACGCGGGTTTACCCGGGCTGACTGAAGGACATCAAGCATCATCTGGCGATGTGACGTCACTGGTATTCAACTTAACACCAGGCGCGGCAGGCCATGTTCGTCTTTACCTTTCGTACCTGTCTATTGTAAGCATTGACATGCTTAAGGAAAGCTCTGTGAAATCTCCTGAGTGTGTAATGTCACTGGTCAGAAGTTCTTTACGGGCTGCTTTTTTGTACCTATAGGGTACAAGACATCAGTTGACGATATGACATCACTGGTATTTGACTTATAGTCGAATAACAGTTAAGTCGAATAACAGTGACGACATATCATCCTGTGATGCTTCACGGGAGGTGTTGCTTTGTGGCCTTGGGCGGCCCAAGTGAATCCGTATGAACTCATGACCAGCGACGTCACCCACTCAGATGATTCGTCTGGAGTTCAGTCGATTACCAGTGACGTCATATCGTCAGCTGATGCTTGATGTCCGTCAGTCAGCCCGAGTAAACCTGCACAAACTCATGGCCAGTTGCACCACACGCTCAGGCGAATCGACAGAGCCTTTTTGTAGCGCACGAATACTTGCAGTAGGCAGGTGCGAAAGGTAAAGATGAAACATGGCTTATTGCAACTGATGTTAATTCGAATACAAGTGACGCCATAACGTTACCTGATGCCTAATGACCTGAACTCGGCCAAAAAAGGCCCGTAAAAGCTCATGACCAGTGACGTCACACACTCAGTGGATTACCAGTGACGTCATTTCGTTAGCTGATGCCTTATGGCTTTCGCTCAGCCAAAAATAGTTGGTAAAAATGCATGACCAGTGACGTCGCACACTCAGGTGACTCGGCAGAGCCATCATTTAACGCACCAATACTTTACAGGTACGAAAGGCAAAGATGGAACATGACCTGTTACGCCTCATGTTAAGTCGAACACCATTGACATCATGTCGTCAACTGATGCATTTTTCCCTATAGAGGGTTCCAAGGAGCCAGAAAAAACTCATGACCAGTAACGTTACACACCCAGGAGACTCGACAGAGCCTTCATTCAGCACGTCAATACTTGTAATAGACGGGTACGAAAGGTAAAGATAGAACATGGCCTGTCGCGCCTGATGTTAAGTCGGACACCAGTGACGTCATATCATCAGGTGATGCATTATACCGTTTGGGGGTACAAAAGGTCCCGTAAAAAGCTCTTGACCAGTGACGTTACTTACTCAGGAGACTCGACAGAGCCTTCATTCAGCACGCCCATACTTCCAAGAGACAGGTACGAAAGGTAAAGATGGAACATGGCCTGTCGCGCCTGAAGTTTAGTCGAATACCAGTGACGTCATATCGTCAGCTGATGCTTGATGTCCTTCAGTCAGCCAGAGTACACCCGCGTAAACTCATAACTAGTTACACCACACGCTCAGGTAATTCGGCAGAGCCCCTGTGTCGCGCGAATACTTGCAGTAGATAGGTGCGAAAGGTACAGATGAAACATGGCTTAGATGGAGCATGGCCTGTTGCGCATGATGTCTAGTCGAAACCCAGTGACATCATATCGTCAGCTGATGCCTTGTGGCCTATAGTAGGCTCAAAAGAGTGTGCAAATTAATGGTCAGTGACGTACACACTCAGGTACTTTGGCAGAGCCTTCCACGGCAATGCTTGCAATGGACAGGTACCAAAGATAAAGGTGGAACATGGTCTGTCGCGCCCGAAGTTCATTCGAATACCAGTGACGTCACATCTTCAGTCATTGCCGTATGACCTTTCGTCGCCCCAAAAGAGGCCGTAAAACCTCATGACCAGCGACACGCACAGTCGAGTGCCAGCGACGTCACATCGTTAGCTGATGCTTTATGGTCTTCAGTTGGCCGCACAAAAAAATCCGCCAATACTTGCAGCAGACATGTACGAAAGGTATAAATGGAGCATGACCTGTTGCCTGATGTTCAGCCAAATACCAGTGACGTCATATCGCCAGCTGATGCCTAACGGCATTTCGTCGGTCCTATAGGGCCCGTGGAAACCCACGGCCATTGACGTCTTACAGTCGTATAGCAGTGACGTCGTTAGCTGACACCTTGTGGTCTTCAGTTGGCCGAAAAGCACCGTTGGAACTCATGGCCAGTGATGTCACACACTCAGGTGGTTCGGCAGCTTTCATCCAGCACGCCAATGCTTGCAGTAGACAAGTACAAAGGTAAAAATGAAGCACGGCCTGTTGCGCCCAGTTTTTATTCGAATACCAGTGACGTCACGCTATCCGGTGATACTTTGCGGACCACGACACACCGTGGTCGTGAGGCCTAAGTGCACTCGTATGAAGTGATGATTAGGGACGTCACACATTGGGGTAATTCGGTCAAACCTTTAGGCGGCACGCAAATGCTTGCAGCAGACAGGTACGAAAAGTAAAGATGGAACGAGGCCGGCCGCGCATGATGTTCAATCGAATACCAGTGACGACACACGGCCAGCTGATGCATTATGGCATTCAGTGGACCCAAAAGAGCCTTACACACTCACGACCAGTGACGTCACATACCCAGCCGAATACCAGTGACACCATATCACAAGCAAAAGCCTTATGGCCTTCAGTCGGCCCGAAAGAGCCCCGATCCCGATCGATGCAAAACCATTTTCAGTGACGTCACAATGTTAGCTGATGCCTCACAGCTTTTGCCCCGCACGACAATACTCGAAACCCTGTAGCTACCGTAGCTCTTCCCTCCGTCGGCCATACAGGTACCCAAGTAAAAAATTACCGTCATGTCACCATGATATAAAGTGCTATCATAGTACCTGCATTCAGCTTAGGCTGCAAAAATGCTGGCTGTGTTGAATAAATTTGTCATAGTAATGCTGGTGTAAAAGTTGCAGCCCAGCAGTCTAAATTTGAGTGCACTGGGTTTTGATGTATGATTGCCACAAATTTCAGTGCATGAGGAGCCAAGATTAAAAAAGCAGCCCTGTGCCGGAATGACAGTTTCCTTTAAAAATGCCAACAAAAGTTTAATTTCAATCAAGATTTAAACTTGACTGTACGTATGCTGTACTTGACAGTTTTGACATTCAGCCAAAACTGGTTTTCCTGGATACATGCACCATGTTCAGCATATCACATCATCATCACCATTGTACTTAGGCATTGTGCCTTCGGCAGATCATTAAAATGGCATGGGAAAATATTTTTGGACAGGATTATTTTGTAAATAGCAGTCATTTCTACATTAATTCTATATAAATTGGATCTAGACCCTTCAAATGGATGGATTTCTGGAATCAGAGCTCACACAAAGCAGTGTGTGTTGTGTGAGTCGCAGCCCCCACCATCCGATTACAATTCCAGGCAATGGCAGAATTCAGTGGGGAAAGCTTAACATGCTGCAATGCTTGGCATGGTTTGTCCCTAGCCTTGGTCCGTCCTACCCTTAGACGTCAACTGAGTCCCGCCCTCAGACGTCAAGTGACCCTTAAGCGCAATGGCTTCCACCACCCACAGGCGTTACTGTGAAGGGCAAATAGCAAGCCCCTAAAGTGACTCAAATCCACCCTGCCACTGATGGGGGGATGGGAAGGCAGGTGCTCTAACCATCTGAGCCCCAGAACAGACAAGTAACATTTATTTCTTGTTCATAATGTTATATATATATATATATATATATATATATATATATATATATATAATGGGCAATATTCAATAAGCAGCAACTCTATTGACATCCAAGTGTTCTCAAAATTGATGTGATGTAAAGGGTTACATGCTGGTTAAGCCAGAACTGTGGATGTCACCTATTTGTTTAGATAAATTGTACCTGTAGGCTACGTGAATGACTAATATGTTAAGTGTTTCATCAAGCTGCATTGACTGTCAGGTGTCATATTATGGGTGTTTCATGGAGTATTGAAGGTACACTGCACTTTCAGGCAGTGATCAGCTGGAATTAACCACTCACTCTGTCAAGGCATTCTTCCACAACAATGGCAGTAAGTGTTTTTCCTTTACATTTGTCTTGAAGGGAAAGTGACACAAGTATAAGATATGACACATGGGATTGAAATGTTTTATTGTTTATGTAATAGGGTACCAGCAATTACACAGTAACACATTTCCATGTAGGCATCTTGGTACAATCAGGATGTAAGCCTGGTTGCAGCTATATGCTGTCATTTTTGCTTTATTGCTCATTTGTACAATGTGTCACAAGTTTCATCAATAACACGTGTTTTGTGAGCATGCCTTTTTACAAGATCATTGAATGCTGACATGTCCTTCCTCAGCCACAGAAAGGTAAAGTAGGCACAAAGGGCCAGAAGCAGATCCTGGAGGAAAACAACCAAACATTGAACTTCTACAGAATCATGATCCTGGGTTCCAATGGCCTATTCTTGGCTCTGAATGGATTTGTATTCTCTGAATTTGCCTACTTTGAGGTGGTAAGTAGTAAAGCTGTTTTGTTTGTCATGTAGGGGCTGTCCTGAAAGTGGAATATTCAGTCTGGATTTGTTGGTTGTCATGCTGGTGTTTTTCATTCAGTGTCTCCTATTAACTGATTGGAAGCATAAGTATGTTCATTAGAGTTTTAAGTAGATCATAGAATTGAGACATTTTGGTGTGTTTGTACTCATTGCTAATGTTTTCAATTGGATTGCCTTAAATGAAAAATAATTTCAATTCACCTTGCCTATTGATGCCATGTATTCTGGCTCAGTGAGGTAGCCACACTCATGACAGGCAGCAGTGACCCCCTGTGTGATTCAGGGACCATCCATCATGTGATCTGCACTGTGCTCGACAGGCTGCATTCCTGCTGGTGGCTGTAGTGCACATCAGCTGTTACCAGTTCCTGTCATACATGGCGCGGCCCAAGTACTCGTCAACGGGCCAGCTGGCTGATGGGGGACTGGACCTGAACGTCGAGTCGGGTGTGGCCGAGTGAGTAGCCCGTGACCCGCCACAGGGTGTGAGGGATGCGGCTGGGACTCGGCACGGCCATGGCCGGCTGCCAGCGGCAGAGGGCCAGGTGTCTCTGGACGCACATCCGCTCATGGCTAAGATCAACATTTGCAGCCGGGTGTCGCAGAGGGTAACGTTAGAACTGACTCAAGCCAAATGTGCATCGGGTTTTATTATCCTTTGTACAGACTCCCGGGCAAATGTTCGTTTATGGGGCCTGTCGCTTAGGTTGTGTTCCGCAGAAACTACGCGCAGGGGTGTCGTCAAGTGTACATTCGTATCAAACTCTATCCAGCATGTGTCATGTGCTGGTCTGCTGGCAGCAGTATCCAGGACCCACGCTGGGTTCCTTCGATGGGGACGGGTCTCCGTGTTGTCGTTGCCGCTGAAGGCACTCGTGAATCGGACGTCATATGTCGAGCTGGAACGACACCGAAGTGTTGGGGTCCGTATGGTGATATCTACCCGTGTGTGAACCATTTCCTCAGTAACTGTATCAGGCGTCATCATGGACGGTCCCCTGGCTTCAGGAGGCCTTTTGTGTGTCCGTCTTCGGGCGGCTACTTCATATGTGGACGGGGCGCGGGGACGAGCAATCCTGATGATTGCCTACATGCCGTGCCAGTACTTGCTGGAGAGGTCAGCGCCAGCCGTGCTGTCTCGCGGATGTGGCGACGCGACTGCGGGGCGTTAGCGTAGCTATGGGTCTGCGAACAATGTGCTGTGAAGCATGTAGGCTTGAGTGATGTAGCTAGGCCTGTCGTGGACATAGCTCTACCAGCTAGCTGCCTGGGCGTATGCTAAGATGCAGATGAAGTGACATGCAGATGTTGTTGATGGGTGACTCTTACCAATTTTGCTAGAGGCTGAGTGTCGCGCAGGGGTGCTGGGTAGAGGTCTATATCAAAACCTCAAATGGTCCGCAATGACGCTACAAAGTTTGGTTAGCTGTTCTGCAGGCATTATGGGATCGGAGGTCCCGAAACAGAAGGCAGTAAGTTGCTAACGCTGCATACATGGTACCAATTAAAACAGGCCGATAGGCGCACCTTCCGGCTCACTGGATGCAGTTTCGTGGCCTTTGTATATGAAATCCGGCTCCTAGCAAGGTGAAGCACGGGGTTTCTACGTACCACATGCACGTGTCCCGAGAACCCAGCTGAGTTGTCGACTCAGCCCACACCATGTGGGTGTGTTCCGGTCTCCACATGCATTTACTAGTGGTGTTGCGGACCAGATATTGATGAAATAGGCATCCGTTGATGAGATTCAAATGCTCAAGAGAACTATGGTGCTAAATTTCATGGGAGAAACATCACGCTTTTTAACGTCGAACCGAGTTATTGTGTTACTTACCATACGATGTCACTTATGTGCTCTTCAAAAGTGGAGCCCTGTGACCTAGGGCCTTCGGAATTTGGCTTTATTAACTTCATACCCTCGCCCCCCCCCCCCCGCCCCCTCCCCTCCCCTCCCCTCCCCGCCTCGTCTCGTCAGGGCGCCTATTTCCAGACGCCTTTCAGCGCGTACGTTGTGAATTTCCGCGTGTCGGTCATCGGCTGTGTTCAGAGTCGCTAGCTGTATGGTAGTCAGTCCTAGTATAGCCCCGAAGGAGGTCGTTCGCCGGACTGGCCTAGTAGGATGGTTCTAAATAGTGAGAACCTGTTCAACGTCAGTGACACAGCCGGCTATGCGGTGACGTTTTTTTGGACACCCCCCCCCCCCCCCCCCCCCATAACCCAATTTAGCCGTCCCTGTATGAGGAGGCCGGTCACGTGCGCTTGAGGGCAAACCGTAAACCCGTTGTTGACAGTCTTTTTGCTACGGACGCCAGATATCGGCAAGTAACTGAAATAGAGGAGATGTGAATCTGACTACATACCTTTAGTGGATGTACCGGCTTCAGGTCGCTGAACGGTCTCCGGACTGTTCGGTCGATAAGTGTTGCAGTATCGGCGGGAGAGCGGCTAATATGACCTTTTTGAACACAGATCTAGGGGGCAACTTGGTGTGGCCTGAAGGGACAGACTGGGTCACGTGAGTTACGCATGCTTGTAATCCAGTTCACCGCCATTGAACTGGATTACAAGCGTGATGTACATCATGATTGCACAGCACGATTACACATCATCATTTTGTGGAACGAAAATGCCGGTCGGACTGGGCAGGCTGAACCCTAGCCAGTCCAGTGTTGGACACTTTTATCAGCGCGCGAGCGCTGCGCCAGTGACCAGACGCGCGCTGAACCGCCGCCGTGCAAAGCGAGCTTTACAGTGTGCTGAACCAATCCGTGTGCATGGGTTCCCAAAAAGTTGGACTCCTTTACTCGGGTTCTGGCATTCCCTGCATGCTTTCAATAGGTGGCGCCACCTCTGCTGCCATTTCGTCCTTCACTGCTTTAATCAACGCTCGGTCTAGACCAGGGCTTTCCCCTCGCTTCGGTATCCAAAATGAGCGCCAACTGCGGAGCCTGCTACGACAGCCCCCGGCAGCGAATCAGTGAAGACGTAGTGCTGAGTTTGTTTTTGTTTCGCAGCCCACCCTTACCCTACAGGACCATGCCGCAGTCTCGGTGTTATACTCGACTTGCATGCGGTGAAAGGTGGCTGAAGCTGGTTTGTGTATTCCAGCTAGCAGGATTCCTCCCACTAGCCCGGCTGGTCGCGTTTCGACGAGTTTCATTGTGTCATCACCTCCGTGCTGCGCGTCTTTCCTGGCGCCGCCCTCAACGTCAGCACATCAGCTAGCGCGGTCTACGCGTCAGTGGTAGTGGTTGGAACTTCTCTGAACCGCGTGTGGCGTCTGTTGCAGGCACGTGAAGGACCTCGTCATCGTAACGTCGGGCTGCCAGACGTTGGGACTCATCTCGCGCTACTTCTGGATCCTGTGGGCTTTCGTGAGTTACGTTCGCGGAGCGCCGGAAACGCGGGTTTTGGAGAAGTTGGCGTTGTTTCCTTGTACAGCAGATGATGATGTCGACTGAACTGTGCTCTGGCACTGCAACTGGCAGAGGCGTGTAGTAGCGTCCCAGCCTTGGGGCTCCAAGATGAATGGAGAGAGGCACAGTTTGTGGACATGAAGGGCATGGAAAGTTTTTGCTTTTGGAGATAGTTGTATGCTGACGCGATCAAACCAGTCATATCGTTATCAGGGCCGTTTACACGTGCTGTGCTTCTTTTTGTTTGTCGTTCATGACCGGAACAAGCGAGTTGTGAAAAATGGCTCAAAGTCGAATGTCAACGCGAAGCCATGGGCGGAAATATTTCACTTCGCGAAGTCGAAGCTGGCTTTGTGCCCATGCTTGATACCGCTAATGATAATAAGATGGCATATGACAGTGAAAATTCTGGTGTGACACGGAAGGAGGAGATCCGCAAAAGATGAGTGTGATCGCCCGGTCATTTTACGTGATCGTATACTGTTGTACGTTGTACGTTGTACGTTGTGTCGTGTTGCATCCCCATTGTCACAAACATTGGATGCTGTTGTCAAATCATTTGTTTATCGAACACCCCTTTACAGGTGCCTCTTCGGGCCTTCCATATGCTATGGAAAAACGTTCTCGGTCCGTACTTCTTCGCCCCTGCACCGGAGGAGCCGGATGTGGATGAGAAGAAGCAACGAAAAATGGCGAGAAAAATGCGCTACGCTGCGCAGTAGGGAACGGGAATTGTTATATATTGTGTTATGACTTGTGGTGAAGGCAATACAAGATATAATGTGTCAATGCGTCTTTCAGAAATTTTGGTTCCGTGATTTAATTCCAGGACCAGAAAACTTTAAGAAACTTACAAATAGGAAAAACGGCTCATGGAGTCGCTCATCAATAGCGTTTCGAGGTTTTTTACATGGAGGTTTTGATTGGGTGCACCCGAAGCGCTACAGGAGGAGGTAGCGTTTGGACAGAGAAGCATTGCGCTGCGGTGCGCTTGGAAATCCTGCCGAAATATTTTGAGAAAAGGAAAGGGGGGAACCGGGGTGACCGAACGGAGGCTTCCACCCAGTGTGACCAGCACGTGAGGAAGGAGTGGGATTTATGATGTCTAAACTGAACGTAATTGTTTAAGCGGTCCCTAGGTCATTTTCCCCAAACGATGCGTCAAGGCTTATTGCCTGTAGACCATCTGACCGCCCACGACCGTACAACACCCGAGGCTGACGAACTGGGCAGTCGGTTTTAGCTGCAACTAGTGACGCAGATCTGACTGCTTCGTCTGGAGACGAACGCCAGCGGGCTTTCTTTAAGCCAATGAAAGCGTGTGCATTGAGACTTCATCCCCCCGATCCCCTGAGTGACAATCGCCTTTGTTTCTATTGCGGAAATGGCATATGTGGGCCGAGGTTGCCACCTTGGGAGCGCGGCGACGCGGTTGGCAGCCTGCCAAGTAGGGTTCGCTTGTTTCTGGTGTTTAGTCACGTGACTCAGGCCCGTTCATTTAGTGCCAAGATTTTCGCCTAGATGTCTTGCTCTTGTCATAATTCTTGGCTTCCATCGCTCTGTGGGGTCAGAGCCTCTAAATCCAGCGTCTGTTTGTCGTTTTAAGCAGGCCGCGCGGGTGCATGGCGAGATTTTAAAGCCAGTGGCAAATCCAGAAATTTGTCAAGGGGTGGGGAGATGCGCGCCACAACGAAATTGATTTTATGCTGCCTGGTTTGACCGGATTTAATCGATCAAACCTGTCTGCATTTCACTCCATGTGGAAATAAAGCTGATTAGTACGCTGGTTTGTCGAAAAGCTACTGAGCTGGTCCGAGTCCGGACACGTACCCCTACCCCAGTGCATCGTCACGTTCGACTGGGCCGTTACAGTCATCGTTCCTTCACTCACCAATCATATTTAAAAGGGTCCACTCTTCACGCTATCATTTTCGCAGCCCGCAGGACCTCGCCATCTCGGTAAGGACGAGGGAGTTAAGCGGAATTTGATCGGGGTTGAGTCCGGGCTCACCCCAAAAAGAAGCATGCTGGTCGGTTAATTGGATTAGAGCTCTTTCGATCAGTAAAGATCATTTGATGGTTATGAAATGAAGGAAAGTGAGTAACTATGGGGCAGGACGACATGCGTCTGGGTACCCAGCTGTCGAGGCTAGGCCCGCGCAGGGACCCCTCTGCGGGATGTGCGCTGAGCGTCCCGGACGGGGACCCCGCCAGTCGGCCCCTCCACCCACTCGTGGCTGGCGCATGCAGCCTGCCCCAGGCAAGCGAGGCGTCGCAAAGATGCAGAGTAAGGCAAAAATGAGGAAAAAAGGGTGGATCCCAAAAAGCATGAAGGCCTTGCTGATTTAGTTGGGTTTTGGCGAGTCATTGGCGTTTTGGATGATCCAGCGCACTCTCGGAATCTTCATGAAGTAGCCGATGCAAACAGTGATCAAAGTCCTTCCAAAATGATATTAGTCTTCACCCATAATACGAGATGATCATTGCGTGGCGAATTATACCATGGCATACTGTGTGCAGTGTGCACTACAGTGGTGAGCAAGGCACTCGCCCTAAACTCCGCCAAGGAAACGAATCTGGCAACGCTTGGCATCTCGTTCTTTGTTGCTGATGCGCACCGCTGTTGCTAAGCGGAGCTGTCTGAGGTCGTGGAGAGGGGCGTGAGAAGCCGTTGTGGTTTGTCGGTGGTGCGCTGGTTCTGTTCGAGTCCCTCGGTTTGCGTAGTACATCTGAGCCCAGCGGCAGGGTCCTTTCCATACTCAAGGTGAGTGTTCCGAGATGAATGCGAGAGTCTGCGCTCAGTTAGCAATTATTGGGGCCCATGACACCCTACCTAAGCTGGCGTCCCCCAAGGCGAATAGCCCAGGTCGGCTGGAAGGTCTCTGGCGATATATTATCGTTGGTGTTAGCCCTTTTGTTGCTGCCTGATGAGTGATGATCCTCAATGTGGCTGACAGCAAAAAGGCCTTTACAAGCAGGAATCTCATGAGTTGCAATGTGCTTAAATTATTATGCAAGGCTCAAGAGGGCAAATAAAGACAACAGGGGAACCAAGGTATTCCACATGTGTGCCGTGCAAGAAGTTCTCCAGTAGTATCTATGTATGAGCTGATACAGATAAAATTATTTGTTAGGTTCCCACCTAATATCCCAAAAGACAGTGGGAGCACCAAGGTATGCCACATGTGTGCTGTGCAAGATGTTCTCTAATAGCATGTATGAGCTGATACAAGTAAAAGTATTTGTTCGGTGCCCACATAATGTCCCACACATGAGGAAGTTGACTGCAGGAAAGTGCCAGGCAGGATTTAGTTTTCTTTCCACTTAGGGCTTCAGCCCCCTGCTCCTTCCAGCTTGGGCTCCTGGCCCCCCTGTCCCCCTCACCCCCCCCCCCATACACACTGAAAAGAAATTGGGGCAAGCCCAGAGAGAAACCCAAACCTGCTTGAGTATTGTTGGGGAAGGCTTTGTCATTTTCACCTTTCAGCCTCCCCACTTTACCCTTGCATAAGGTAATTAGGACACTGGGAGATGGGTCTCCCCAATTTTGCTGTTGTAGGCTTTTCCTCTAATATTAACCATTGCATGCATATCCTGATATCTTCCTGTACAAAGATAGCATTGTCAGGTCAGTTTGTTCTCCTCAGATTTGTATCTAACCTCCCCAGTTGGGAGTTGTCCCTCAATCTCAGAGATATGACCAGTTACTTAGTCACAAGAGTGCATCAATGCAATGGTTGCTTGTGCATGAGAGAGGTAGGTATGCTCATAGGCAGATTGGTACATGTGTGGATGGATATTCTTAGTAGGAAATATGTGGCATGATAGATAGGTATGGCAATAATGTATCAACTTCTGCAAAGTTTGCATTTGCTGCTGTGTTAACAGCCATTTTAACCACCATACAAAGTTATCACTATGTGAAGTATGTCTGGTCTGGATCACAAAGCCTCAGCAGCTGAGTGCCTCAGAATGCTCCAATGAAAACTTCTGTTTCCTAGGTTATGCACCCACAGAAGCAAAAAATACGTCTAAATGTAGTATTCTTTTAAAGGATTTGACTTCTGTAAAGAAGGCTGTGTTCATGTTTTAGACCTCAGATAGCCTGGGTTTGGGCTGATGTGGATGTTTTCATCATTTTCTTGTTTGTCATGCCTATACCTTCTGATGTTGAGCAGACCCCATTGAGGCTGAATGCTGCTATTAATAGGTAGAAGTGTTCTTTAAAGGAATATTTTTATTTTCAGGTGGATCCTGCGATGGGTCATAACTGCATGGTAGCCAAAAGAAAGATCAGATATACTTCCTGTGGTGTCAGACTAAGAAATATGAACAGTTTTAGTGTCTTAAATTCTTCAAGTTCAAGCTTTTGTGTGCCACAAGACCATCAGTGTGTGATGCTTGTCTAAGAAGCAGTGCTTGTGTGTAATTTGTGAATTGTGCTGTGAATATTTGTGCTGCAAACAAACCAAAGATGAAATTGCTTGAGAATAGCAGTTTTGAAGCCATCACATCTGGCTTGCAACTTCTGACTGGCAGCAGCCGCATATTTGGCAGGTGAGGAGATGGGGACGAAGGGGGTGGGGTAGGACTAGTAGTTCCTACCGTTGCTTGGATGCTCCCATATTAGAGGTTTGTCACCATGTATGTGATGTCCAATGATATGGTGCATGTGGTAAGACCTGGTTGTGTGCCGAAGATTATGAATATGATATAACTGACTGATCAAAAGAAGTCAGGTTCTTTGTCAGGTCAGATTTATTCTTTTGCCCTTGGATGGTGGATGGATGCCTGCTGGACCTGTATCAGATTACCACCATTGCTTAAAATATAGCATGGGGTGGAGCAATAGTGGTCAAAGATACAGATGATGGGCCTGACACAGCAGCTGCTGTCTCTTTTCATATCAGAGTGGAGAGCTACAGCTGTAAGATGGTAGGCCTGGAGAAGACTCTGTACAAGAAGCTCAACTTTGAGCAAGGCCACAACCCGAGTGACTTGCAAGCTCTTTCACCACCAGAGAACAGATATGGAGTATCTCCAAACACAACCTTCAGGTACTGTACAGATCAGCTGGGGGCTGGATCAGTGGGCCCCTTGGGAAGAAGTGCTGCATGCTGTATGATAGTTCAATGGAGAACTAGCTGGCTGTGTTGGTCACTGGTCCTGGAGTATTTTTTATTTGAAGTACAGGGATATTATATGTTGATATGCTGTAATATCCTCAGTGTCTGGCATGTTCTCATGCAACATCCATGTGCACATTTTCAGTCATCTTAACTGATATAGATGTGGATGTAGCACATCAAAAATACATAGATATAGAGTTCCTTGCAATTGGTACACAAACAGCATGAGGGACTATTTTGGCTGAGTTAACAAGGTAGGATATGCATTGAATATCATGCATTGATATGAAAAGAGATCTGTGTTGTCTGTTTGTGTGGCAGTGTGACTAATACCCAGTATTTTGATAGTATGTAGTTATATCATCACTAAAATGAAACTGCGCCTGTGTTGCCATCCGCTTTGCCTCATGTGCTCTGTCTTCCCACACATCTGTTTGAGACTGCACTTGTGTTGCCATCTGCTCCTCCCCATATGCTCTGTCTTGCAACACACCTGTGTGAGACTTCGTGTTTCCAGCCATTCCACCCTATGTGCTCCATCCTGCCACACATCTGTCTGAGACCACCTGTGTTGTCATTTTCCCCTGTCCCATGCACTCCATCTTGTCACATGTCTGTGTGAGACCACTTGTGTTGTCACCAGTCCTGCCCCGTGCACTCCATCTTGCCACATGTCTGTGTGAGACCACTTGTGTTGTCATCTGTCCTGCCCCACCTGCTCCATCTTGTCACATGTCTGTGTGAGATGGAGCAGGTTTCCACATGTGTTGTCATTTGCTCTGCCACATGCTCCATCTTGCCACACATCTGTGTGAGACCACCTGTGTTGTCATTTTCCCCTGTCCCATGCGCTCCATCTTGTCACATGTTTGTGTGAGACCACTTACATTGCCATTTGCTCTGTGCCACATGCTCTACCTTCTTACATGTGTGTGAGACTGCACTTGTGTTGTTGTCTGCTCTGCCCCATGTGCTCCATCTTGCCATGCATCTGTGTGAGACTGCACTTGTGTTTCCATCCATTCCACCCCATGTGCTCCATCTTGCCACGCATCTGCGTGAGACTGCACTTGTGTTGCCATCTGCTCTGCTCCATGCGCTCCATCCTGCCACGCGTCCGTGTCGACCTGCCCATAGCCGGAGCATGTCCGGCGACGAGGAACCCGGCTCGCTCTGTGACGTCATCAGCCGCAAGACGCTGTTCTATTTGATCTCGACGTTGAACGCGTCATTCCCGGACTACGACTTCTCAGCGGCCAAGTCGGACGAGTTCAGCCGCGAGCCTTCGCTGGCGGTTAGTGGTGTGGAGTGGAGGGAGGGTGGGGCAGGGAGTGGGGCTGGAGACGGAAGCGAGGCGGAGGATCGGTTAGTGTAGGGAATGCCTTGTGTGTTAGCTAACATATGGATGGGTTGTGCCAGTTGTGCGTAATGGTCGGATCTGATGAGGTGTATGCAGCCGTTTGGCATATGGCATAGCCCCTGCATTAACGCAGTTTTGGTCGGATCGGTACAGCACTGTGTAAACGTGATCTGACATGAGTGTGTTTTCCGACCCAATAAACGCCCAACTTATGACGGCACGCCGTCTGATCCGGTCTGAGCTGATCTTGCCACCCGCTCCGCCCTGCTTCGCGTGCTGACGACGGTGGGCGCCTCTGATCCAGATGGTGGTGGCGAGCATCGACACGTACCTGAGCGCCGCCGCTGGCGAGCAGTACAACGGCCTGCGCAACACACTCTGGCGCACCATCGAGGACGAGATCACGCCCAAAGGTACGTACCGGGCCAGCAGGCCGCCGGCGCCCCGCTCTGCCGCCGGCAGAGGCCGGGTGTGGGGCAGCGGCGCTGCGGCTGGTGGGGCACGGCTGACGAATGGTGCGGGGAAGCTCGTGGCGAGCCTGGTTTTGTCATTTCCCCCTCCTCGTCTCGCCGGCCTGGACTTGGCGGCCGATGTAGTATTGCGTCATTAGTATTGGCTGTCTCCTCAGCAGCCGTCGGGGGATGGGCAGCTGGGATGTAGCAGAGAGGTGCTGTATATTTTAGCGGTTGGATTAATGTTCCTTTCAGATCGGGGTTTAGTCTGGGGAGGCTTAAAGCCCAATGAACCATTATTATTTGTTGATTGGGGGACGAGAGAAAAGTTGATACGTGTGGACTGAGGGCGGGAGGTCGAGGCGTCCTCGGAAGGGAGGGGATTCGTCAGGACGTCTGATGCGAAGCCTGTTTGGGTAGTTATGTTTCCATTTCATTGCCACCTTTTTTGATGCGTCTTTCGTACTCCAGATCAGCAGTATGTCACTGTTTTTTCAGTGAAGTATTATGCCATTCAGTTTTAGAAGATTGTTACATGTATTCCATATTTATTACTATGAACCCATATTGTGGAAGGCTACATCTAACCCATTTGCTAGCTGTACATAATTTTTTGTCGCGGGTCCATAGGATAAAATTCGGGTTATTCTGCTTACTGATGACTTGTGGTAACGGCGTCGTCATCATCTTTTGTTCTAGCTCTGTAAACAGCGCCGACAGTCGGCACGATGAGAAGCTCACAACCTTTACGAATGCTCGTTCCCACTCTCTAACGCTGAATGGCATATCAGTACAATATGTCTCGTGTGAGAGCTGTTACTCGCTGAAACCGGCGCGGTCGGGGCCGCCAGCCCACCGGCCGCCGTCGGGCGGAGGCGGCGTCGCGCCAACCCTGCCCGCTCCGCTGACGCCCGCCCGCCCCCCCCCCCCCTGCCCGCCAGAGTGTGACGTCTACCGCTACAACCCGGACCTGCAGAGCGACCCGTTCGGCGAGGACGGCTGCCTCTGGTCCTTCAACTACTTCTTCTACAACAAGAAGATGAAGCGGATCGTATTCTTCACGTGCAGGGCGATCAGGTAGGCGGGATGGTTTGCTTTTGCGCGGCTTTAGACGCGGAGGCTTCTGTCTGCCTAGGACCGGACAGTTTTATCCATAGCTCTCCACCATATTGGCTGATTGATGTGTCCATGACGCCGGTGGTCAGATGGCGCCAAACGGCGTTTGCGGATGAATGTGCCCACTACACTCATAGCATGGTTGCATGCCACATCGGCCGTGTTCAGCGGTCGTTAGAACTGAGCGCGGCGTCAGAGGTGGGCGTGTTCTCCCAGCGGGTCGTCAGCCCCCGCAATAAACGGTTAAGAGCGAGGACAAACTCAGAGGGTGTGCTTCTTGCTTCCCTGAACGTTAACAGAAATGAGATAATCGAGCTGTAATGAAGCTCGCACAGAGACGTGGCTTTGGTCGTGATATCGGAGCGCCCCGTGATAGTGGTGGATCGTCGGACGGAAAAACTGCGCTTGGCTACTTAAAGGGAATAATCCACATTTGAAGATATTGAAGCAAGCATCAGATATGATGAAACAAGCTCACGCATAACTATTTGTGGGCTTTTAACGGGAATAGGTCACTCGGGACAATACAATTTCGCTTTTTAGTAAATATGGTCCTTTATGCGGCATTGTTTGATTTCGTCATCGTACTTTGCACAATATTAATTGAGAGCCAGTCAACGGTCATTATATCAGCAAATCATACTGACGAACGCCAGATCTGAAGGACTTGGCAGTTATATTGTTCTTGGACTCGATCGCCACATGGCCAGTGGAATGGCAGGATCTCGTTTGCGTTACTACGCTGTCACGGATGCCCAGGCGGCCTTGGAATAGTTCCCCCGAAATAGTCTGCACATCTTTGCGGACGTGTAGCTAAGAGACTAGGACTCAGGTCTTAAGAGGGGCAGACCTGCGAACTACACCGAATGATCGTCAAGATGGCTATTTCTGTTCAAAACCCATGCAAGTGTAGAGCCTTCCAGGTTTACCGAGTGGCTATAATGTGCCGGCCTTGATAGGGCCATATCTTCGCTGTTCTTTTCGATTGGTCCTACTTACATTTCCGGTGAAAAACTAGAATGCCGTTATTGTTATTGGAGAATGTTTGTCTGCAGTACCGATTCACACTACAAAACAAATTATGTCATCCAAACTGTTAGAAATACAACCGTGTGCTCGCTGTCTAACACAGTTCATTTGAAAATATGGTGAATTTGGAATGAGTCGCTCGACTGAGCCACTAGTAGAGCCAAGGATGGTCTTCGGTCTCGTCACATCGCCTAACATGGGCACGGGGTGTCGTAGAATATGTTAGCAGAGGTTCGCCAGCAATTCGGTGCGAACGTGGCTAACTATGGCCGCTGCGCGCGCACGGCCGAAGGGTTATTCTGATCCTTGATGAGAGCCATGGATGGGTGAGGCTGCTTTGTGGAGAGGTTTCTCAAGCTAGCTGGGATATGTTTGATCAAGATCACAGATTAGTTTTCCATGTGGATATTTACAAATCGATGATCAAAAGTATTAGAGATTTCTTGCTCGTAGGGAGCAAAACTGGCTCGGTGTTGAAAAATCAGCTTTAGTGCTTTCGGGTATGGATGGTCATGGTCGTCAAAACAAGGAACGCTCACCTATCCCTCTGTACCGATGGCCGACCTTGGCATGAGTATTTTGTTGGACACGCGCCAAAGTGAACTATTCCCTTTAAATGTCAGACGTGGTATTTCGTCAGCACCCGGCCGCGCGGAATGTTCCGTGGAAAGCATTTGCAAGCAGTGTTAGGCTCAGAGTCTGGAAAGAACCGTGACGTTGTACAGTATAGCATATGAGAGTGCTTAACAGTTAAAGAAGCGCGCTTCTTTGCGTGATAACTGCAAGATGCTGACAAAGGCGTTAAGCCGGGCCCTGTCGCTCATGTGAACAAAAATCACCTTACAGTGTAGAATGGTGTGTAGAGTATAAGCCAGCCGGGTGGGCTGACGTTCTCGCGCCGGCAGCTATATGACCCCGCTTCCTTCCTGCTCTGTTGGTCCGCATTTGTGTCGGTGGGCCGTTGGCCGGCGACTGGCGCCCGACTGTCACCAGTTCGGCGTGCCCACCACCCGGGGACCGCTGTCGTCCGCCGCCGCCGCAGGAGCAGAACGGGTCGGCGGGCGCACGCCGCGCCGCCTCGTCATCCCCCCGTATCGCTTGCAGCGCCGGCGCCCCTGCAGTCTCGCAGTCCTTCCCCGTACCGCGTGCGGCGCCGGCGCCCCTGCAGCCTCGCAGCCGTCGCCGTGTAGCGTGCAGGCTGTCGCTGCGGGCGGCGTACCGGTCTGACGGGCGGTGGCGACGGCGGGGGGGGGGGGGGGTGACGTCAGGCCCCAGCGCCCGCCGCTATGACTTCACCCGGCGCGGCCCCCGGCCGCCGGAGCCCCAGCCCGCCACCTCCGCCCCGCCGACTCGCCGAGCGGAGGCAGGGCTGACCTTGAGGCCACAGCCCATCGTCTTTTCAGGGAGGGTTTTGGCTGAGGAAAATAGTTGCCATGGTCGGGATACTGAACCACTAGTCAGCATTTAGAGCTGCTTGCTGATTAAGTGCGCTCAGGTGGTCAATTTGAAGGCTTTGTAGTCGAATATGGGGTGAGCATAAGGTGCAGGATTTATTCCTGTCTTCGTCTCAAAACCATACCACTGTACCATATGTGCACTTTGACAGCTCTGAACCTCCGTTGGAAACGCCCATTAAGCTGGCATTAAATCGCCGCTAACGGAAACGATACCACCACATTACTGCTACAACAAAAACTCCTACCACCAGGAGTGCTAGACATTTGTTTTCTACTGCCAATACTTATGCACGACATTAGCGTTACGCGACGAAATGTATGTTCGTCACTTCTTCTACTTCAAAAACATAGTCATTACTTTTTCTGCAAAGGTATGTACAGTCATGATTTATTCGCGACTTTACTTCTACGGCAGAGACTTATGCGACGACATTAGTGCTACCGCAAAGGCTTGCGGTCGAGTTTTTGCTGTAGAAGTAATGACTCGTATACGTTCGTATACGTTTTTACGTTATAGCTTTTGTTGTTTAGCACTCATGTTGTGATGTTAGTTTTTGTGGTAAAAGTAATGGCGCCTTTAAGTGAAGACTGCTGAAGACTGAAGCTGTTTGCAGCGCAGTAGATGCGATGACGTGTATACATTTTTGAAACATAAATTCTGTGGTGTACAAGTTTTTGCCTTAGAATTAAGGCGCGCTCGGGTGGGGGTCAACTTGACCCCCGCGAAGGTTTTTTTCCGAAATGTTTCTCGAGCGGCGTGGCGTAGCTGCGCCAAACTAAAATTAAATCTGTGCAACAACGGAGGGTTAGACGAGGCTATACATCTCTGAGATACTTTCTTAGGCAACACAGCAATTAAGTGAGTAAATTCCATTGACCTAGAGTCAGGTATGAAGGTCATACCGGGTCAAACCAACCTGTTTTATCACTCCTAGGGCTTGTTGTATGGGGTATTTTCTGGTGCTTATTTCGAATTTATTGACACCTTTCACAGACTTCTTAAAGGTCAGGATAGATCACTGACCTAAAATGACTCAGGTCAACATTTTGTTTTTAGGAACATACTGCCTGGCGTAATCCTTCTTGCCTATTCAGTTGCAAAACTCAAAGCAGTCTTGTATGATTTTGGTCACCATAGCCTGCAAAATGTCAAACAAGGTCACCAACCTTAAATGAACGTGGGACTGCTGAGAACAGATATGTAGGTTTTGGGGGGCGGGGCACTTTGGAGGCTAACCTGGGGTTTGACCATGTTTGATCTTATTTTACCTGAATTTCATGACCTAGAAACCTCAAACTGTGACCAAAGGGAGTTCACGTACAGGCCAACACACCATGTAAATTTAGTGTCCCTAGCTCTCTTGGTTCCTGAGATCTCAGTTGGGTCAAATTAGCCCCCTCACCCCCACCCCCACCCCCCTATCCGAGTGAAGGGTATCCAACCGGCCAGCCGGGCGCATGCTAATGCCTCGGTACTAACGGAAATTGCGCTCAGGCGACTACCGTGCGGCCTACTTCGGCCGTTGTCCGTTGTGTTTGTGTTGGCCGCCGCGGCGCGCTGTCCCGTCCAGCGTCGGCGGGCCGGGCGCGGGCGCTGTTGTTGACGGCCGTGCGCCGCCTGACCTTCTGAAGGGCGGCGGTGTTGTGCGTGGGCGCGGCGGCGCGCCACAAGGCGTCATGACGTCTGGAGGCGAACGTGGGGCGGCCGTTGGCAGTCGGAAGTGTGTGGATTGCCTGGTGTCAGCAGATGTCGATACGGTCGTGTTTTAGATCGATTGTGAAGCCGCGCGTGACGCGGCATAATGTTTTTTTTTTCGTGGCGGCCGGCCCACGCCTGTCATCATAATCGTAGTGCAGCAGTGGCCGGCCGGCGGCGACCCCAGCACGTGCGGTCCTCGTGATGCCCGTTAATGTGCACAGCGGCGGCTTTGTTTGGCATGGCTGAGTCCGAGGTGACCTGGTGACCAGCTGTCCCGCCGCTCTCCGCTGGACTGTCGGCGCGGCCCCTTGACCGGGGCGGTGATGACCAGTGCCGGCCGGCCCGGCCCCGTGACCGGGGCGGTGATGTACAGTGCCGGCCGGCCCGGCCCCGTGACCGGGGCGGTGATGTACAGTGCCGGCAGGCCCGGCCCCGTGACCGGGGCGGTGATGTACAGTGCCGGCAGGCCCGGCCCCGTGACCGGGGCGGTGATGTATACAGCACCAGTGCCGGCCCGGCCCGCCAGCGGTCGCCTGTCGATAGCGGCGCTGACATCGCTTCCTATCTTGCAGCGTCAACTACAACATGCTGCGTCTCGACTCGGGCTCGGGCCAGGACTTCTCCATGGAGCTGGACGAGGACTACATGCTGGAGCTGGAGGACGGCGATATGTAGTCGTCGGACCGCCATGGTCCCCGCGCCGGCTCTCACCGCGACCGTGGTACCTTCCAAAACGGGACTGCGAGCTAGGCACGGACGCGCTGACGGCCGGTCCCCGGAGGACGAGGACGACGGCAGTCCCCGAGACGCGAGGACTGCAGTGGGTCGCGGAGGACAAACAAAGCACAGAGGACAGACATGGTGTGTTTACCACAGACGGGCGAGGACTGCGATCGTCCGGAGATTGGGCGGGGCTTCTTCGCGTCGGGCGGGGACCGACCCGGCGACGCATGGCTGGAGCCGTCGAGGACGTGTGTGTGTGTGTGTGTGTGCGACTGAGGTCCCTGGAGTGTGGACGAACGTTATCCCGATCGTGAGGGGCGGCGACATTTGTTTTCCGCCGGCGTCGACGCACAACGCACCTAACCCCGAACGAACGTTTCCCGCGTGCTGCCGAGGGTAGCGGCCCCCACGCCACACGCTCTCCTCCGTGCGCAGAGAAAGTCGGTGGCAGGCGTTCCTCGCACGTTCTCCGCGCGCACGTCCACGTCGGGACCGACCGTCGTCGGTCCGCGGCGGCGCATGGACGTGACTGGACCGTGGCCCGCACGGCTGCACTCGGCCGGGTGTGGGGCCGAGCTGAGTCTGCGCGGACGGTGTCGGAAGCGGGTGCGGCGCGGCCTGGCGCACCGAATGTATTGGTTGTTTCGGTGGCGCCGGCGGCGGCACGGCGGCGGACGACGGAGGGTCGCAAGGCGAGCTGGAGCGCAGCCGGTCTGCCAGCGCCGTCCCCAGACATCCTTAGTTGCCGCCCGGCCCGCCCGGAGGAGAACGTCGTCGAGAGTCGTCTCCAGCCAGGTGTCGCTGTCGATGGCTCGTATCCAGTCGGGGTCCGCCCGTCCCCAGCCAGACCGCCCGTCCTCGGCCGTGACCCCGTAGGTCCCTACCGAGCCGGAGATGGCACCGATCCAGCGCAGGTGGCGCACTTGGCCGCCGGACGACAGCTCAGCCGCACCGGCTGGTGCCGCCGGTGGTACCCGGCTCCCGAAGCGGCGCTTCGGGGAGGATGCAGGCCCGACGTACAGAGAGAAGCGCTAGTGTTAGGTTCACCTTGAATATTCCAAAAAGTGCAAAACTGTACAACAAAGCGCGGTGATGGATGTAGTGTACGGTGCAGAGTAAATATCTATATTTGCCCTCGTTTTTAAGCTTACGTCACAATTGCAATCGGTGTTTGAGTGTCCTTTAACCTTGAGTGATTGAATGTAGGGACAGTTTGGCGTACAAACTGCGAGAGTTTCGCAGCCAGTGACATGCCGAACGGTTTTATTTTATTGCGTGCTAATTTAGATCTCTATTGAAGCGTGATAGTATCGCCCGTAGTTTGTTGCGTTCGCCTTCATTGTCCCCGTTCTTTCCATCCACATTTTGTCATTTTATCCTTGTAACCTATGCTAGTCCTGGACATGCGTTGCTTTTCGTTCAGTGGAACGACTCGTTGCCACTGCCTCCTGTTGGGTGAGGCGATAGGCCCTCTTCGGTCCGTCGATGTTCCCCAGAGGGCCGGGATGCTGTACAGTTACGTTGCTTCAGGAAGCCCCCGGCCCACGGGCTGGGATGAGTCGGGCGTAGCCCGCGTTTTGTTCGGACGTGAGTCCCGCGCCGCAGTAGCGTTAGTGTCCCGTCGCTGGGTTACCGTACGGAATGCGTCCATAGATGCTCTAATACATTGCCTCACCGTATGTGGAGCGTAGTGCGGATCTGTGGAGAGGTCCCGTGGCTGCTGGCTGGTTCGCCCGCCGCCTGCCTGAGCCGTTCGGTCCGTGCTGACGTAAGGCTGGAAGGTAGCGACGACAGGTTAGAGCGGAAAGGGTGCACGACACCTTACCTCCTGAAATGTGAGGTGTTCTGGATGGCGGACAAAACAGTCGTCACCCGTCGTCAACTCGGGGTCTAGAGTGATAACGTCGTTCTGGGGTGACATGTGGCGCTAGGTGGCAGCAGGGGCATAGCCAGATTCTTAGCAGGAGAGGAGCACAGGGTTGACAAAGGGCCCCTGATAGTAAAAGGCCTCTAGCCCCGCCCCCCCCCCCCAAAAAAAAATCGCCGGATGTAACCCATCTGTTTTTGAGAACCTGTTTTTGTGACATAAATATGCATATGTATATATATATATATATATATATATATATATATACATATATATATATATATTGCACATTTTTACCTTCTACAGTTGGAATATAGGCCATACGTTACCGCGAGATCAGTTTTGCCTGAAGTTTATAGTGAAAAGACTGACAAAAGCACGCGTTAAATGACTGCTTGAAATAAATCACTGGCGCTGTTTATGTCACAATGGCCCGGTGGACTCTTTTAAAACGATAAAACTCAGAAATTTTGTCGGAATTTTCACCTGGGCTGTGCGGAAATAGCAAAGATTCCGAGCATGTAGATTGAAGATAAAAATGGGTAAACAATTTGTATTAACGTGGCGAACCATGTTTGTCCGGATATCTTCAACATTCAGCCAGAACTGATAAGTGGTACAAATTCATATAACATAGTTCCGAGCATGCGCGCTCGTACATTTCAGAAAAATCAACACCAGGCGCTGCAGTCGCCGTGCCCCGCGCAGGGTCGGCCTCGCGGCTTACACTAGGCCGAGAATAACAGGTGGACGAAAGAAGTGACGCATCTGAAAGAAGTGCCTTTGAACGCTTCAGCACACCAAATTGTACATGCTGATATATTTTGGGCGTATATTTCACCTGTGCGGTTTTTACATTGACGACAATAACGCATTGGTCTGAACAGCACCGCGAAGTGGTGCTGGAATGTGTTTGTGGAATTTGAAGAGAAAAGGTAAAATGTATTTTTGGCGTGTTGCCGAATTAATTTTGAAAGACCAGTAGAAACATGATTTTACTATGGTCATTGCTGCGCGCCCGGCGCCCGCCCCCTGGCGTTACGTGCAGTGGCCAACGCTGTTCAGTTTTACGAAAACTGCGACCCAACCCACCCGTGCCTTTGTTCCCCGAGATTCTGACCGTGCTATTGGGGCTTTATGATGCACTCAGCTGCTGGGGCTATATGGCGTTGCCAGCCTCTCACCCTGGCGGGAAGGGCGGGCGCCGCAGGAAATCGAACCCCGTACCTCTGGTTTCCTAGACACTACACTATCGGCACCCACCACGCAGGCTCAAAACGTTTTGATGGCATTTGTTTCACTTGTCGATTCTGCAAAGCAATGAATGTTCTCAGGGAAACATGGGATGGCCTTGTGCGTTTTGAACTCATTTCGACCCACTCCATCCAGCGCTAAAGAGGCTTCTTATTTCTTCCCGGTAAAGGGATCCCTTTGAGTACGACACTACGGGGTACTTTGTTGTTCCCGATCAAAAGCTGATGGGCCATTCTGTCCCACCGCAGTGTGTTTACCGGCCGTTATTCTGGTGACACGGGGCGGCATCCCCTGGCCGATCCGGAGGACCTTAGAGGGATGCATCATATCACATTGGTCCGCTCCCTGTCGCGGGAGACCTGACCCGCGCAGTTGACCCCAGATCGACGCATGAACCGTCATTGACGCAACAGCATCCTTGTTCGCTCCAGGTGGTCAAATAATTGGTACATAGACTCCAGTTGGGCTCCAACGGGCCCATGCTGGAAAGGGGTGGGCTATTATTATATAAAGGGTGGGCTATATATTATATAAGGGTGGGCTATTCTATTACGTTAATGTGAACACTTACCATAATGTTCCCTTCAATTGTCAGAGGGGCCCAACGAACGCAGAGACCCTCTGCCGTTCAGGCTCCCGTCCCCGTCCCTGTTGAACAAATCTTCTCCGACCGATTCGAGGCCCTCGTTGACAGAGAATGTCTTGTAAGGCTGTGTGGGCCTCTGAATGATACAGGAACCCGACCGATGTAGATCGCGGGCCTGGCCTTGTCCCTGCTTGGGAAATGGGCCCAGAGCTCAGACCAACACGGAGTGGATTGTTCGTTGTTCGTGATTTCTGGCCGGAATAGAGGAACGCTCTGCCTCAGGGGTCCCTGTCGGTGCAAGAGATCATCTTACTGACCTTTGAGATCGCAGCCTTATGGACGGGGGTCCTTAATATGACCTGCAGTCAGCCCTTCGGACCCTTTAGCCATCCCGTCGGGCCCTTGATCTTTGGGTTCAAGGCACCCTTCGGCCCCTTTTCAGGTCCCCTCAAACACTGCTCCGACTCGGGGCCACTTGCCGCCACAGGACCACCGTCCCTGCTTGGGAAACGTTATGTGACCTACATAACTCTTCCAAAGCAGGGATAGGGGTCCTGTCTTGCAGGTCTGGGCCCCTGAATAAGGCTCCGACCAGCCCTTTCTGTCCTTAAACCTTCCAATCGGGACCCCTTAACGACAAAGGCCCGCTTTTATGCGCTCTGGGGCTCCGAGCAATGTAAGTCGCTGTCTCCGGCTTTGTTTCTGCTTGGAAAATTACCCGGTCACTCCGTCACTCCGTCACCTGGTTATTCTGTCATTCCGTCACTCCGTCAGCCAGTCACTCCGTCACTCCGGTCTGCTCTTCACTGGAGGAGAAGTGGTGGATTGCACATCTTTTTGTCTGGAACACCATTTTTGCTAGGATGCTGCTTGAATGCAGCGAGCATTGTTTTAAATTAAGTCTCAGCCCGCACGAAATGGCGTAAGCACAATTAATACCTTAGGGATATAGAAACTTGTCAGGAAAAAGCAAGAGTTCAGGGTGTGTGGATCCTAATACTCAGCGGGTATGGCCGGGCGGGTGGTGACCTGGAAAACACGCCAAGCACATGCTGATGTGGTTGGTGAGCCGCCGAGCCCACCATCATACGTTAGGTTAGACATTGCGCGCATCAAATGCAACCACGCACCGCACGTGAGTCGTGCGCGTCGTCGTCTAGGGCGGAGCGTGGCCCCGTGTTATTGACAGCGCTATCTTTAGCCAGCCGGGCTCAGCTGCCGCGCCACCTACCGCTCTGTGCCAGTTCACCCAGCCGGTCCCAGCTGCTGCGCCACCTACCACTCAGTGCCAGTTTACCCAGCTGGTCTAGTTGCTGCGCCACCTACCACTCTGTGCCAGTTTACCCAACCGAGTCTAGCTGCTGCGCCACCTACCACTCTGTGTCAGTTTACCTAGCCGGGTCTAGCTGCCCCGCCACATATCTTTCTGTGCCAGTTTACCCAGCCGGGCTCAGCTGCCGCGCCACCTACCACTCAGTGCCAGTTTAGCCAGCCGGTCCCAGCTGCCGCGCCACCTACCACTCATGTGCCAGTTTACCCAGCCGGGTCTAGCTGCTGCGCCACCTACCGCTCTGTGCCAGTTTACTCAGCCGGGTCTAGCTGCCGCGCCACCTGCCGCTCTGTGTCAATTTACCCAGCCGGGCTCAGCAGCCGCGCCACCTGCCACTCTGTGCCAGTTTACCCATCCGGGTCTAGCTGCCGCGCCACCTACCACTCTGTGCCAGTTTACCCAGCCGATCCCACTTGCCGCGCCACCTACCACTCTGTGCCAGTTTACCCAGCCGGGTCTAGCTGCCGCGCCACCTACTGCTCTGTGCCAGTTTAGCCAGCCGGGTCTAGTTGCTGCGCCACCTACCACTTTATGTCAGTTTACCCAGCCGGGTCTAGCTGCCGCGCCACCTACTGCTCTATGCCAGTTTAGCCAGCCGGGTCTAGTTGCTGCGCCACTTACCACTCTGTGCCAGTTTAGCCAGCCGGGTCTAGCTGCTGCGCCAACTACCGCTCTGTGCCAGTTTACCCGGCCGGTCCCAGCTGCTGCGCCACCTACCGCTCTGCGCCAGCTTACTCAGCCGGGTCTAGCTGCCGTGCCACCTACCGCTCTGTGCCAGTTTACCCAGCCGGGTCTAGTTGCCGCGCCACCTACCGCTCTGTGCCAGTTTATCCAACCGGGTCTAGCTGCCGCGCCACGTACCGCTCTGTGCCAGTTTACCCAGCCGGGTCTAGCTGCCGCGCCACCTACCACTCTGTGCCAGTTTACCCAGCCGGGTCTAGCTGCTGCGCCACCTACCGTCCCGTGCCAGTTTACTCAGCCGGGTCTAGCTGCCGCGCCACCTACCGCTCTGTGCCAGTTTACTCAGCCGGGTCCAGCTGCCGCGCCACCTACCATTCTGTGTCAGCTTACCCGGCCGGGTCTAGCTGCCGCGTCACCTACCGCTCTATGCCAGTTTACCCAGCCGGGTCTAGCTGCCGCGCCACCTACCGCTCTGTGCCAGTTGAGGCCCGCCTGCGCAAGGTTGTGCAGGGTTTAAGAACAGAAGTTGGGTTGGAGAAGTGCGAACACAGTTATTTGTAATCAAATGTATGTAAGGTGTAAAGGTCTCCTGGCAGAAGCACCTGTGCAACTGTATAGAGTGTGGAGTATGTGTGTATATGTATGTACGTATGTGTGAGTATGGAGTATGTGGAGTATGTATGTACAGAGTACGTATGGAGGATGTGTGTATAATATTCCTATTGACAAAAGGTCACGTACTTAAAGGGCTTACGCAGCTGTCCGTAAACCATCATGGAAGTGAAGGCTCGTAACAGATGAAGTTCGTCTCTCAAGGGTGCGTACTCTTAACTTAGTAGGCATTTATCACAGAGAAAGAATTTGATATGGATGCTTCCCCTGTGTGGGAGCGTTCCAGGACAAAAGGGCCACCCGAATATTAAAAAGCACGCCATCAGCTCTTGGCTTTCGCTGGAAGTTGAT